CCCTTGGCCCGCACCCGGGCCGGCCTTTCTCTCGCCTGCACGATGGCGGTGCACCGACCGCCTCACCCTCTCTGGGGGGTGGAGACAGCCTCAGAAGACACACCAGCCTGGGCCTCTCAGAGTCATCCCCAGAACACCAGGAGGTGTGAGGGGAATGTCCCCCAGCCTTGGGATGGAGAGGAAAGAGAGGCGGGGAACATGAAGCTCTAGAATGCTCATAAATTTAATGCCACAAAATAAAACTAAAGGATGTATAAATCAAAAGACATCGACAGGGCTTCCATGGCAGCTCAGGAGTAGAGAATCAGCTTGCCAATGCTGGAGACTCAGGTTTGATCACTGACCCCAGAAGGTCCGACGTGCCACAGAGCACTAAGCCAGTGAGCCACAGATACTGAACCTGAGCTCTGGAGCCTGGGAGCCACAGCTGCTAAAGCCCGTGAGACCGAGAGCCCGTGGCCGCAACGAGAGAAGCGACTGCCATCAGAAGGTCTCACACTGCAGCTGGAGGGTAGCCCCCTCGCCGCAACTAGAGAAAAGCCCACGCAGCAACAAACACCCAGGACAGCCAAAATAAACGATAAATAAATTAGATTAAAATTGTTTCAATGACATCAACAAATAAGGCCAAAGGGCAAGTAACAAATTGGGAAAAGCTACTGCAGCAAAGACACTAGCCAGAAGGAAACCCAACTGCAAAACGGTAAAAGGCAGGAAGTCACTCTGCGGAAGAGACAGGAGGAAGCGCCCAGGGACACGATCACCAGAGACAAGGACACCAGCGTGCCCGCCTCCACTCTGCCTCCCAAGCGAGTCAGGCAGCCTGGGGGTCCCGGCTGCGCTGGGGGTGCGGTCACTGCCGACGGAGGCGGTGTGACGGCAGTCCTGACTTCGCCGGGGTGACTCTACTCCTAAGGGCCAGTTCCAAGACGCAGAGGCAGGATCTCAGGGAGAGGGACCACAGGCTGACTGCACACGGATAAAACACGGAAACAATTAGCATAAGTCCTTACGACAGAGTACGATTCTATGAATATTGTGTTCTAATGAATTTTTCAGATAAATGATCACAAGACAATATTTAGTGAACAAAGTAAAACTGCTCATCATCAGATTTGCAATGTTTTTTATTTCCTTCTTTTACTCTTCTGTTTTCATAAGTTTCTATAATGAACCACAATGGGCCACAATTATAATCAGAAATAAGAGAGTCGGTGTCATTTTTTTCAAGAAGGCTTGTGTGTTCAGTTGCTCCAGTCGTGTCCGGCTCTGCCACCCCATGGACTGCAGCCCACCGGGTTCTTCTGTCCGTGAGATTCTCCAGGCAAGAACACTGGAGTGGGTCGCCACACCCTCCTCCAGGGGGTCTTGCCCTCTCAGGGATCCAGTCCGAGTCTCCTGTGCCTCCTGCATTGCAGGCAGATTCTTGGCCCCCTTAGCCACTTGGGAAGCCCCTTCAAGGAGGCGGAAGGCTGTAAGCTCACTTTAGTAAAGTGTCCACAGAAAAGAGAGCAGACCTGAGCCAGGGTGAGTTTCCGTCTTCTAGATGATGAGCTCTCCCGCTGGCTTGAGGATGTGGAAGGTTCCGGATGAGGAGGTGAGTCTAGATGGACAACAGCAAGCTTTTAAACGTGCTAAATTTTAAGGTTAATCTTCGAGACCAAAAGGGTAAGAAAAAGGTGTAGGAAGAGAAGAGCTGAAGGACACTCCACGCTGGAACACTCTGCCCAGGACTGTGCCAGGGGCAGCAGGGGAACTGGCCTGTGTGCGGGCTGAGGGGACGTGCGCGGGGTCTTCCCGGCCTGAGCCTTGCTCCAGGACCCACCTGCAGGCCTCTGTCTGCCCCCCGGCAGCCCTGCCCTTCCACCCAGAGTCCGGGGGCTGCTCGAGAGGCAGACAACACTATGGGTGGGCCCTGGGCGCGTGGCCCTGAAAGCAGAGTGGTGGCCGTGGCTCAGCGCACCCTGCTTGAAGGTAGCAGAGTGGCCTGAGGCTGCAGCCATCTCCCTCGCACACAGGGCCGCACCCGTGGTCACTCCTGCCACTCACGGCAGGGCCACAGGGGCACCTGGTGGACCAGCCGGCCTCACGGTCCACCTGAGATGGCGGCTCATCCCGGCTGAGGGACGACCAGGGAGGAGGATGCCGCTGGGCCGACGGGCTCTCGCTCAGGCGGGTCGAAGGGGACCCCGGCGGGCGCCCTGGGGCCAAGCGGGGTGCCAGCCTCCTCTCCCTCTACCGGGGGAAGGGGGTCACCCGCGGCAGACGCAAGGCCATCCACAAGGAGCTGCACACAGACCACGCTGACACCACCTCTGAGGTCTAGTGATCCTGCTGAGAGGGTGATCGCCCATGTCTGTCTGTCTGTCTGTCCCAGCCACGCTGCTCTGTCCCGTCCACTCAACTCAGATCACGCTCCATGAGGTCAGACCACCTCTCCCGCACCTAGCTCAGTCATCCAGCCGCCCGCCTGCGACGTGAATGAACGATGCTCCCGAGGTCGGCGCTGCCCGCGGTGGGGACAGGCGCCACCTGCTGACCAGGTTCCCGGTGCAGCGCAGGGCCCCGGGCGCCGCTGTCCACGGTCCTGCCCACCGGCCCTGATCTCCGCGGCCCGCAGCCTTCTGCATCTGCAGGAAACGCTTCCCTGGAAGACGGCAGTGCCTCTCGAGGGCTCCCTGGAGGCATTTCCTCTTCTCAGCTCAGCGGAATTCCGCGTTTGCACCAAGCCAGGGGAGGCCTGGGAGCTGCCGGGAGGTGTGAATGAGGAGTGTCGGGGATGGGACACGTCCGGAAAATAGGAGGGGATTCCAGACCTGGACACAGAGCGAGCAAAGGGGGGTCAGAAACCGAAAGGTGCGTGTGTCTTCTCAAAGAGTCTGCAATGGGCTCATATCACCCTTGCAAAAAATGATTCACTCACCAGTCAGCTCTGCGCCACTGAGTCGGAGGCCCCAAGGGAGGACACTGTCCCAGGGTCATGGACAGTAATTTGTCCCACTGGACGTGATCGGCCAGGCTTGGCCCTAAACAAGGGCCTCATCAGAAACAGCTGTTCATTGTAACGCCGTCTGCAGAAGCGACACTAGAAACGGCAGGGCCCGACTACACGGTGATCCAGCCACACGGTGGGGTCCCACATGGCCAAAAGTGACCACGGGGCCATCTCTAGAAACTGCCATGGATGGGCCTGCAGACTAGAGGGTTAAGAAAGCACAGAGGGAAGGGTGAGGTCCTCTGCCGAAGAACGGGAGGGGAAAACACTGTGTGTGTGTGTGTGTGTGTGTGTGTGTGTCTGTGTGTGTCTGTGTCTCTGCGTATGTGTGCGTGTATCTGTGTCTCTGTGTGTGTACATCCTTGCTTATGTTTTTTATAAGCTGTAAAAAATTTGAAAACCATTAACTTTAGAGCAGGGGGAGAATAAGGAGGAACAGATTTCTCTGGGTATAACTTATTTTATAGACTTGTCTGGGAACCATGCAAATATTTCACATAATTATAAAGTTAAATGCAAGTGGGAATATCTCTACATCTCATGCCAAATGGAACAAATTAACCTATTGTGGGTAAGATATGGGGCATGACTTTACAGAGAGAATGATTTCAAGTGACTTGAAAGTGGTCACTCGGCTATATCTTTTAGAGGGATGTGCCTGAAGGTCAAAAGAACTGATAAAAAACATCTTAGATGACACGTGTCGGTGAGGGTGTGGAGAAACAGGAGCCTCGCACACGCCCAGGCGATGAAAGATGCCGGGGACAGCACCCCAGAGCACAGAGGGTCTGTGTGAGGCACTAATTCTACTCCTGGAGGACACCCAGAGAACGGACTCGCACGACCGCACACAAACGTGGTCACAACGACAGCACTCATGACACCCAGACAGTGACCACAGCACATGCCCTGGACAGACGAGCCCAGCGTGGCCCCCCTGGAGGACGAGGCGGCCCCGGGAAGGAAGTGCTGACACGGTGAAAGCCCTTCATAAGGGTGGACCTTGACGGCATGATGCTGAGCAAAGGAAGCCAGGCACAAAAGGTCACACGAGTGACTCTGCTCCTGTGGAGCATCCAGAACAGGCAAATTCATGGGAGCCAGAGAGTAGATTCCTGGTTGCCAGGGGCTGGGGGGTGATGCCCACATAGGAAAGGCTGGTACGGAGCGGCAGAGTTCCGCACGGGAGGAGAGGAGAGCGGCCCTGACCCCCAGGGGTCCCGCCAGCCCCCTACCCGCTGCCTGGAGGACCTGCGGCTCTAGGGAGAGACGCCTACCGGGCGTCTGCCTCTGCGCCGGGAGACCCCTCCCCTGGTGTCCGGCCTCCTTCCCTGCACAGCTCCCACGGCCGCGGGTGGGGGCCTCACCACCCCCCAACTCCCGGCCGACACAATGCAGCCAGGATGGGGGCCTCGGGCCGGATCCCGCCAGAGCACAGAGCGACAGCCACCTGTGGACCTCAGACTGGGCCCCCAGCACCTCCTTCCTTGAGGCCCCGGATGGGGGTGGGCATATGGGGGGGCGCGGGCCATGCTGGCTGGATCTACTCCCCTCAGTCGAAGCCCAGGCTGTGGCGCAGTGATGGAAGGCGTGTGGGTGCCAGGGCCCCTCCCGCCGGCCAGCCCGCCTCGCCTGCTCGGGCGCCGCTGGGGGAGACAAGGGGACCTCAGGAACCCTGCGGAGGATCTGCTCGGGGGTGGGGGTGTCTAGGGATCCCACCGCGGCCCCCTTGGGCGGCACGCCCAGGCTGTGAACTTGTGCAGCTAACCGTGGCCAGAGGAGCAGCCGCGCCAGTCAGGGGGGTGCCAGGCCCCCGGCAGTGTGCCCACCGCACAGCGGTGCGGAGGGGCTGACTAGGGCCCGGCGCCGCGCCCACTCGCCAGGAGGCACCCGTAAGGCCAGAAACAAGGCCGTCCAAGCGTACTCCGTGGGCACGTGCGCGCAGCAGGGCCCAAGGCTGCAGGACGGAGCGCAGGACGAGTCCGGCGGCCTGAGCGGCCCTTACCTGGAGCCCGCCGGGGGCGGGGGCTGCTCCTCCGGGGCCTCCTCCTGCAGACGGGAGCCGCCAACCCCTCCGCGCAGCCTGTCCGCCGCATCCCCCGGGGGTCCTGAGCTGTGTGCCAGGCACTTGTCGGAAGCAGGGGCTTCGGGCTCCGGCCTGCCCGGGGCGTCTTCGGAGGGCGCGGGGTCCGGGGCGCCCGTGGGCAGGGCTTCCAGCGGCCCCGCGGCGGAGCCCTTGGCACCCACCTTGGCGGAGCGGATGACGCCGCCCGAGCCGCACTTGCCCCGCAGACTCTGGGCGGCCGCGTCCTCCCCGGCGCCCGCGCAGCCCGCGCAGCAGACGCAGGAGTTGAGGAGGCAGTTGGTGGCCGTGGCGCTGAGTCTGTGGGGACCGCCAGCCGTCCCCTCGGCCGCCGCGGGAACGCCGTTTCCCGGGACTCCCGGGTGGGCGAGGGCGGAGTCCAGGGAGGCGGGCGACTTGGGGTTGAAGATGACCGTGGCCGACAGCTTCATGCCCCCGGTCCGGTGGGCGATCAGCTCGGCCGTCTCGGCGTGCTCCGCGCCCGCCTCCCAGCCGTCCAGGTGGGGCCGCGAGTCCAGGCAGCTGCAGGATTTGGGGGCCGCCGCCCGCAGCGCGGCGCCCTCGATGCTGTTGTTGTTGCTCGCGTCCTCCCGCTTGGCCGAAGCCGGCGAGCCGACCCCCGCCTCTCGGCCCTCCCCCGTCTCCTGGGGGTCGACGCCGCCGCCGGTGCTGCCCGGGGCCTCGGGCGCCCCGTCCACGTCCTCCATGAAGAACACCCTCCCCTCCTCCTCGTCGCCGGCGGGGGGCAGCTGCGCGCGGCCCGGGGACGCCCGCCCGCGGGGGCTGGCCGCGGCGCCTGGCCTGTGGGCGGGGGAAGGGCCGGCGCTGGGCGGGGACAGCAGGGAGGCCATGGCGTCCCCCGCGCTATGCACCAGGCGGCTGAGCTGCTCCAGCTCCTGGTCGTCGTTCTGCACCGAGCAGGCCAGCTCCGCGTCTGCGCGCCTGGGCTCGGCCGGGGCCAGGGCCGGGGGCGCCGGGACGTCCGCCCGGACGGGCAGCTCCACGTCCTGCGAAATGCAGAGGTTCCGCTCCAGCGTATGCAGCTCCTCCTCCGTCAGCGTCTGCAGCAAATCCCTACAAGGGCCCAGGCAGGAAGGAAGAGTAAGGGCCCCTGAGACGACCGCCCCGCCAGCCCCCAGGCCAATGGGCCTGGGCACCGGTGGTGCCTGCAGTGATCCCCGCAAGGTGTCGATGCCTCCAGGGTCGCCGGGGCCTCGGGTCGGGACAGCAGCCCTTTGGGGTGGCTGACTGATTCTAGAACGCACTCTTCCTTAAAAATGAGATTCTGAAGCTTCTTGCTGAAAAACAAGAAAGCCCTGATTCTCAGTGATAACTGCATTAGTAAAACCTTCTGTGAGTGAAAAGATACATGTTGGTTTAACACATAGGTTTTCACCCTTTGGTTCAACAAAGACACTTGAGCACTACGTGCCAGGCCCAGGGTGACACACAGGAAGACTGGCATGGTCCCTGCCCGCATGGGTTCTGCAAGAAAGATGCAGATAACAAACGCTTATGAGCGAAAATGGACAGACAATCGTGGCGGCGGCAGCAGAGGGACATGCCCGCCAGGAGGCCGCACCGGACACCCTGGAGACTCCCTGGAGGCGGCGGCACTGAACTGAAGGCAGAGTGGATTCAGTGACGACGACTGGGATGAGCCCAGCGTGGGTCCTACAGGTCCCATGTCTCAGAACCGCTCAGCTGTGGCTTTTCATAAGCTGAACACACTCTGCAAGCAGCACTCAGATCGAGAAATACAGCGCTCACGGTGCTCCCAGGAGCCCCCACACACCCCCCAGCCGCGCTGTCACCCCACCCCACGTTCCCTGCAGTGATCACACCTGTTCTTCTCCAGGTGGATGGACTCCGTGGCCCGCCCTGCTCCCCGGCCCGTCAGCTCTACATTCTGGACGGCTCCTCCGTCTGCACTGCTCCGCGGCAGGCTGTCAGCCTGTGCTGCATGTGTGAGGAGGCGCCAGAAGAGACACTGGACACCCAGTTAAATTGGAACTTCAGGTAAACAACAAATACTTTTTCTTTCAAAGAAGGAGTGGTTTTTTAAAAATTATTTGTATTTATTTATTTGGCTATGCTGGGTCTTAGTTGAGGCTAACTTTGATCTTCGGTGCAGCATGTGGGATCTTTAGTTGAGACCTGTGGGATCTAGTTCCCTGACCAGGGACCAAACCCAGGACCCCTGCACTGGAAGCCGGGAGTCTTAGCCACTGGATCACCAGGGAAGTCCCAACAAATACTTAAAAAGTATATGAATATTTTTTAGAGTAAGTATGTCCCAAATGGCCCCCACTGGGGACATATTTATTCTAACAAATTATTACTGTGTATCTGAAATTCAAGTTTAATCTGACTTTCTGCTGTTTCGCGGTTCCAGCTCTGGCAACCCTCTCTGGTGAGACATGCGGTTGTAAATCCTTTCGTCTCTCCCGGTGGAAACGCCCCGCAGGTCACCTCTGAAGCTGTTCTACACCCCAGGGGCCCTGGCTGCCGGAGCCACGTCTCTGAGCCCCTGTCCTCGGGAGGGCGGGGGTGAGTTTCTGCAAGTGAGGGTGCTGAGCTGGTGAGGAGCAGGTCCCCGCCCAGAGCGCAAGGGCACTCGGCCTTCCCCATTTCCTCCTCTCTGGTGAGTGTGCAGTGGTTCCTCACTGAGGTTTTAAACTGTCTAGCCTGCTCACTCAGGAGGCTGTGCACCTGTTCACATGCCAGCCGACCCCTAGAGATCCTCTCTGAAGTGCCTGTTCAGGACTTTCGCCCATTTTTGTTGGGCTAACTCTTCTTACAGATTGACAGGAGTTTTTATGTAATTTTGGATCCGAGTTCTTCACTGGGTGTCGTTTCCAGCTCGCAGCCTTCTCACTCTTAATGGTGTCTTTGAACAAACTCAAGTTTCTAATTTCAGTCAAGTTGAATATGTCATGCTTCTCTCTGTGGTTGGTGTTTCTCTGCCCTGTTGAAGGAATCTCTGCCTACTCGAAAAGCACAAAGATGTACTCAATTTTTTCCTCTGAAAGCGTTGTTTTACTTTTCACCTTTGTACTTGCAATCAACCTAGAATTGACATGTTCCTGAGTGTAGTAACTTCCCCAATGGCGCAAGTGGTAAAGAATCTGCCTGCCGATTCAGGAAACACAAGAGATGCGGGTTCAATCCCTGGCTTGGAAAGACCCCCTGGGGAAGGAAATGGTAATTCACTCCAGTATTCTTGCCTGGAAAATTCCATGGACAGAGGAGCATGACAGGGTCACAAAGAGTCGGACACAACTGAGCAAGTGAGCACGTTTGAGTGTATTAAGGATCTTTTTCCTCGTGTGGATATTTACTGGTTCAGCTGTTCATGGAAAAAGCCAGCCATCCTCCACTGTTCTGCCGTCACCCTTGTCGTAAATCACGTGTTGGTCGCTCCGGACCCTCTGTTCTGTCGAAAGCCCTGTGCACTACACCTCTGCCAGCGTGACTACGATTTATGACAGGAAGTGTCTCCAACTCTGCCCGTTTTTTCTGAAGCACACTCAGCAGAAATGTACACGTATGTTCACAAACTTGGTCACACCAGCACCGTCTGTGGAAACTACCCAAAGGCAACTCAGAGCAGAACAGAGAAATGATATTCTTCTTTGCCCTTTTCCTCCAGCAATTGTTTTTTTCTTGGCTATTCCAGGCCCTGTGCCTTTCTATGCGAATTTTAGAATTAGTTTGTCGATTTCCACAAAAGAAAAAGCTTCTTGGGATTTTGTTTGAGGTTGCATTGGACTCAGAGATTAATTTGAAAATCACTGATATCCTCTTGGTATTGAGTTTCCCACTTCCTGAATATGGAACAGCTGTTTACTTAGGTCTTTAAAATTTGGGGTCAAAAACATTTTGTAACTTCCAGTAGAGGTCTCGGACATCTTTAGATTTATGCTTAATTAATATTTATTGACACTATTATAAATAATACTTACATTTTTTTATTGTGATAAAATACAAGTAACATAAAACTTCCCACCTTAACCATTTTAAGTGACAGTTCAGTAGTATTCACCAGGGTTTCCCTGGTGGCTCAGCTGGTAAAGAATCTGCCTGCAGTGTGGGAGACCTGGGTTCAATCCTGGGTTGGGAAGACCCCCTGGAGAAGGGAAAGGCTACTCACTCCACTATTCTGGCCTGGAGAATTCCATGGACTGTATAGTCCACAGGGTCTCAAAGCTGGACAGGACTGAGCGACTTTCATTTTCAGCGGTATTAAATATATTAATATTGCTGCGCATCCATCCCCTAGCGCTTCATCTTATAAAACTAAAACTCAGTCCCCGTGAAATGTCATCCACTCCCTCCAGCCCCTGACAACCACCATTTATGCTTTCTGTCTCTATCATTCGATGATTCTAGGGAACTTCTGTCATTGGAATCACACACTATCTCTTTGTGATTGGCTTACTTCATTGAGCATGACCACATAGTTCATCCATGTTGTAGCATGTTTTTAAGGTTAAATAATATCCTAGTGTAAGGCTGGACCGCATTGTGCTTATCCGTTCATCTGTCAACAGTTGCTTCCACGTCCTAGCTGCTGTGAATGATGCTGCAGTGAACACAAGTGTACAAATCTCTCTTCAAGATGCTACTTTCAATTCTCTTGGGTAAAAAGCCAGAAGAGGAATTGCCAGAAATCATGGTAGTTCTCTTTTAATATTTTGAGGAACCTCCAGAGCAGCTGCACCATTTTACATTCCCACCAGTGGTTCACAAGAGTTCCAATTTCTCCACATCCTCACCAGCGCTTGTTGCTTTCTAGTTTTTGTTTTGTTGTTTGATAGTAGCCTCCCTTGTGGGTGTGAGGTTTGGATTCTCGTCTCCCTAACAATCGTCAGGTTGATTCATGTACTTACTGGTCAATCATGGTAGTTCTCTTTTAATATTTTGAGGAACCTCCAGAGCAGCTGCACCATTTTACATTCCCACCAGTGGTTCACAAGAGTTCCAATTTCTCCACATCCTCACCAGCGCTTGTTGCTTTCTAGTTTTTGTTTTGTTGTTTGATAGTAGCCTCCCTTGTGGGTGTGAGGTTTGGATTCTCGTCTCCCTAACAATCGTCAGGTTGATTCATGTACTTACTGGTCATCTTCTCTGGAGAAATGTCTATTCATGTCCTTTGCCCATTTTTAATTGGGTTGTTTATTTCTTGTTGTTCTTGGTGTTGAGTTTTAGGAGTTTTCCACATATTCTAGGTATTAATCCCTTATCAGATATATGATACGCAAATATTTTCTCCCATTCTGTGGGTTGCCTTTTTACTCTATTGTAGTGTCTTTTGAGCCACAAAATTTTGAAATTTTCACAAAGTCCAGTGTGTCTAATTTTTCTTGTTACCTGTGCCTCTGGCGTCACATCCGGGAAACCACTGCTAAGTGTGACGTCATGAGCTTATGTCCTACGTTTTCTCACAATAATTTTGTAGTTCTAGCTCTTACATTTAGATCTTTGATCCATTTTGAGTTAATTTTTATATAAGGTGTTAGGTAAGCATCCAGTTTCATAAGTGTGTGCATATGTGTGTATATCTTTTATTAGATTAAGGAAATTCCTCTTTTCCTAATTTGCTAAGAGATGTTTTGATCATAGGTGTCATTTTTTTCAAATTCTTTTTCTGTAACTTTCAAAATGATTTGGTTTTCCTTCCTTTTTAAAAATTAATACAGAAAAACATTATTTTCAAATGTTAAACTATGCTATGCATAAGTTAAACTTCCTAAGACATTATAATCATTGTTTTGTACAGCCCTTATTCATTTATACTAATTCACATCAGGGTCTTAAGTCTCTCCTGTGCACCCACATTTCCATCTGGGATTTTTTCCTTTGTCGAAAGAACTGCAATTAGCTTTTTTTTTATGCGCAGTCTGGCGATAACATTTCTTTAGTTTTGTATTTCTGAATAGCCCACTATTTCATCTTATTTCTTGTAGAGTATTTTTGCTGGTTATAAAATTCTGATTGGCAGCTTTTTCTTTTCAGCGCGTTAAATATACGCCATTTCATTGCCTGCTCCCACTGTTCTTAAGAAGACAGCTGCCCATTCACATTCATTTCACAGTGACGTGCCAGTCTCCTCTGTGTCTGAGGGCTTTCTCTGGTTCCGCCGTCTTCCTGCGACACGCCCAGGTGCGCTTTATGCTCGTCTTGCGTGTAGTTTCCCTGAGTCTCCTGAATCTGTGGGCAGAGACTTCTCTTCAGTGTTGAAAACTTCTTGGCCATTCTTTCTCTGAATACAGCTTCAGCAAACTGCCCGTCTTCTCTATTCCTTCCTTCTGATCCTAATTACGCATGTTAGACTCCCGAGCGTGTCGCCCATCTCCGAGGCTCTGGACTCTGCCCCTCCAGACTCCCCAGCACCTGGCCCCTCCCCAACCCCATGCGCCCACCCTCCCCACGGCCACTGCCCACCCAGGGCCTGCTCTTCCCTTCCCAGCCTAGGATCGTCCACCCTCTTCCCTTGCTTCTTGTCGCCTCTCCCAGCTGAGCGCCCCAAGAGGGCAAGGGACTCAGCCTCTGGGTCCGGCATCACGTCCTGCTCAGGACGCCCACTGACCCTCCTGAGGCTTCCCAGGTCACTCCTCCCTGTCAGGATTCAGAGCGCGCTTGGCTCCCAACCAGGCAAAGGGCAAGAAGGCCAGCGGAGGAAAGCTGCCCTGGGCCAGGCAGTCCTGCCAGGCCCAGGGAGAGCGTGGCAGGGGGCCCCAGGGTCCTGGACCAACAACTAGGGATGGGGGGCTTCTCGGGGACCAGGGATGGTGGGAGGAAAGACCTCAGGGTCCGCCGAGATGGGGCCAGAGAGGTGCCCAGGGGACGCAGCCTCGGAGGACAGCCCCCGCTGACCCACCCCGACAGGAGCCTCCGCTGGGCCCTGTCGCTCACAGAGGCCACAGCTGGGAGGGTGGGGGGCAGCAAGAGGGGGGAGAATGAGCCTCAGGGCAGGGGAGGCACTGTTCACTGAGAACTGAGCGCTTCACCCCTAAACTCACCAACACCCTAAACCAGTCAGTATCCCTAAACTAGTCTACACCCCTAGTCAGTATCCCTAAACCAGTCAGTATCCCTGAACTAGTCAACACCCCTAAACTAGTCAGTCAACACCCCATAAACCAATCAACACCCCTAAACTAGTCAACACCCCATAAACTAGTCAACACTCCTTAAACTAGTCAATATCCCTAAAGTGGTCAATACCCCTAAACTAGTCAACACCCCTTAGTTAATACCACTAAACCAGTCAACACCCCTAAACCAGTCAACACCCCTAAACTAGTCAATACCTCCTAAACTAGTCAACACCCTAAACTAGTCAGTACCCCTAAACTAGTCAGTACCCTAAACTAGTCAGTACCCCTAAAATAGTCAGTATCCCTGGTCAACACCCCTAAACTAATCAGTACCTTTAAGCTAATCAACACCCCCTAAACTAGTCAACATTCCTAAACTAGTCAATATCCCTAAACTAGTCAACACCCCTAAACCAGTCAAAGAACTAGTAGAAGGCCCGTGCCTGGGCCCCAGTCCAGTGCATGTGGGGGGCCTGGCCCAGGGGGATGCCGTGTGTGGCCCTGTCCACCCCGCACCACCCGGTTTCACAGTCGCTCCGTCACAGAGACGTTTCCATGAGAAACCAGAAGGGGGCCTGGTGTCCATGCCGTCAGCCAGGGCGGCTGGGGTCTTGGGACAGGACGTTTGTGTGTGGTTAAGGCCAAGAACAAGAACCTGTTCTGTGGGGGAGAGAGGGGTGGGGGTGAGAGGGAGCTCCGAACAGTGGACCCAACGGTAAAGGCACCAGCACCCCCGACGTGAACAGAGGTCAACGCCGGGGCTTTCGGTGAACAGAAGGCAAAGAATCAGCTCCATAGAGATGTGCAAAGGCAACCACGCTCTGAAGCTGTGCCCCGAGGAAACACATACCCTGGAGCTATCGGAGGGCAAAGCAAGACCACACTTGTCCAGAGAGGTCACTGCCAGCCCTAGACCAGTCGCAGCCCCGAGGGGCCCAGGGGCACACGCCGCCCTCCCCTCACCTGATTTTCCGCAGCAGCGTGTGGAAGGGCCGGAACAGCTCGGACATGTCCTCCACCTTGCGGTCCAGGTTCAGGGGTCCGTCCGCGTAGACCACGAGGCCGCTGCATCCAAGACACAAAGCCAGTGCGGCCTCAGCCCTGTGGCCGCGGGGCCAGTCAAGACCACTCCTGCACATGCTCCCCTCTGCGCTCGAGTTGTAAATAAGTTAGGAGAAAGCAGTGAAGGTTACCCAGATTTCATCCCTTTTCAAAACTGGTCAGCCTGTGTTCGTTTGAGGGATCATAAAATAAGCATAAAACATGTTTGCACACTTCTCTGCTGCCATCAGATAAATTAGCATCGAGATTTGTTGCTAAATCTACCTCCTTGAAAGTGGAAACACTGGCGTGCTAAGTCGTTTCAGTCACGTTCAGACTCTTTGAGACCCTAAGGACCGTATCCCACTGGGTTCCTCTGTCCATAGGATTCTCCAGGCAGGAATACTCGGAGTGGGTTGCCACGCCCTCCTCCAGGGGATCTTCCTGACCTAGGGATCGAACCCTTCTTTACCGCTGAGCCACCAGGGAAGCCCAGAAACACCGGATTTGTGTTTAAATATAACACAGACACAGGGTTTGTGAGAACTGGCTCTGAAAACACCTACTGCAAAGAAAAACAGGAGTTGGGACTGAGGCCCTCCCACCAGCCCGGGAGCCCTGACCCCAGGGCCGGCCCCTTCGCGGTGGGGAGGGGTCCTTTGGGGGCACTGCATAGATGGGGTGAGACTTTCCAGATGGTGGTGGTTCAATTAATGGTGTTTGGGGAACAATTTCCCAAGACAGAACCTTGACTTGGCGGGTAAATGTGCTGGTCACAGCACAAAGGCAGAATGAAAACAGGCAGAAAAAAAAGGTGGGTTTGGGGAATCCAGGGTTAGTTGCTCTGTGGCAGGTGGGGTCTTAATTCCCCTGCATTGAAAGGGGGATTCTTAACCTCTGGACCACCACGGAAGTCCCAAGAGTATCATTTTTAACCAGTCCTTAAATTCTGGATAGGGCTTCTCCGGTGGCTAAGTTGGTAAAGAATCCGCCTGCAATGCACGAGACCCAGGTTTGATCCCTGGGGTTGAGAAGATCCCCTGGAGAAGGCAATGACAACCCACTCCAGTACTCTTGCCTCGAGAATCCCATGGACAGAGGAGCCTGGCGGGCTACAATCCATGGGATCGCAAAGAGTCGGACACGACTGATTTAATACTTTCACACTTTAATTCTGGATACATACCTCCCTACCAAGTTTTTATGATTAAAAATAAAATTCCAGTGAAAAAGCTTCATAAATACGTGTTTTGTGTCCTGCTAGGTCAACACAACGAAATTCTGCAGGAATTCTCTGTGCTACCTCCTGCCAGGCACCAAGGACATTGGGTGACTGGGGGGAGGACAGTGCTCCGTGACACAGGCCAGTGGGGGGACCCAAAGGTGACCAGACCCACTTACACGAAACCTCCCGAATCAGAAAACCTACAGAGAGGTGGGAGGACAGGGCTGGGGGTGGCGGCCGAGGGGTCGGTGATCTCTTTTCAGAGACAACGGTCACTGAAATCAGTGGTGATGGTTGTACAACCCAGAAGCACGCGCTTCTGTCCAACACCCTTGCTTTCATCTTAGACAGGCTACCTAAGGGCCTCCTTCGCGGTTTACAGCAGGTTCCGTCTAAGACGGCGGAAGCTGATGAGAGTTTCCCGAGAGGATCTGGTTTCTCCCAAGACCACCGTCGAGACCTCGCAGAGGGAAGGCAGCTCAGGGGCCCAGTGAGGCCAGAAAAAGCGAGGTGCGGGCCACACCCCGAGCCCAAGGAAGCCGCAGGTGTGGCGGGGGCGGACACCACGCATCCCAAGGCGGCTGCTCAGGCTTCTCTGAAGCTCTGGCACCAGCTGTCCACCCATCTTTCCGGGTCTTGACTGCCTAGGTCCTCCCTGCACTCCAGGGCATGTGGGACTCTGCTCCAGAGTCCCGGGCAGTGGCGTCTGCCCAGCTTGCTCCCCACTGGTCCTGCACGTGGCACACGACCCATATAGGCCCCTGTGGTCCAGGCTACGGACACCCCTATGTCCCAGAGGCCGGGCCATGGGAACTGCTCACCCCCACAAGGGTTCTCCCCTTGGCCTGTGCGTGGACCAGTCCTGGCCCACGTGTCCACCCCACGCTCCCCGTGCCAGTCCACCGATGGCCACACCTACCAGCAGCCTCCGCTCCCGGCACCCCAGATGCCCCATCCCTCACCTGGTGGGAGGGCAGGTGGTCGCCATCTGGGAGTCCAGGTGTGGGTGAGCAGCCGTGGACCAAGGCCAGAACACCTGGGCTCTGACCTTGGCTCCACGAGTCTCCAAGACGCCCAGGATGTGACTGAGCGCTTCCCGCCTCCAGCTTCTTAGGCCTGAGCCCACGTGGTGCCTGCCATCTCCGAGGCCGCGAGCCCGCAGGCCTGACCTAGAGCTCCACCAGGCCCCCCTGCTCTTCAGCCCACGGGCCCCCCTCCCAGCCAGCCCACGAATCATCCAGACAAGCTCGTCACATCCTCCCCAGGAACCAGGGGCACCTCGCCTCTCGTCCCTGCAAAGCGGGCTCCCACAGCCCCTGCTGGTTCCCGTGCCTGAGCATGGGGTCCTCCCAGCCACGCTGGGCGTGCCCGTGGCTGTCACGCTCACCTGTCCCCTCCATCGAGGCTGGGGGGTCCCTCCCGCACCAGGGTGGGGGGCACCTGGAACGCCTGGCTGCTTGTCTGCTGGGACAAGGGCAGGCCCACCAGGGGACTGCTCCGTGGCGGGGGGACGGCCTCCTTCAGGGTACGAGCACCGCTCACCACCACCCAGAGGGGCCTGGCACCCCTGGGTTTCTGCAAACCGACCGCCCAGGGCACCGTGAGGGACACTCACCACACGATGGCCAGCCGAGGGATGGTGAACATGAGGGCCGGCTCGTAGTCGTCAATCATGTCCTGGGTCAGGTACCCGAAGTCCAGGGCCCTGGCGGGGAGGAGACAGGGAGCAGGCGTGACCACGGCCAGACGGGAGCCGGGAGGGCAGCCGTGCAGGTCTCACGCGTGGACACGCGGAGGACGGCGGCTGGACAAGCCCGCTCCAAGAGGCCCGGCACGGGCAGCTCCCCCTCGGCCTCCCCCACCTTCCCACCTCCCTACCCACCGCTGGATGGAAGTGGGGAGCAGGAGAGAGGTGCCCGCCGAGGGGGGCTGGTGGGCACAGCTTGCCATCCAACGCCCGAGAGTAAACGTGGTGCAGAAATGCCGCCCTGAACCGTTAAGAGTCCCTGAGAGGCCAGCAACTGCTCTCCTGCGTTCACCCACTTCCAGGGAGATGGTGTCCCTGACGCGTGGGCAGGTGCACCTCAGCGTGTTCAAAACCAAAGGTTTCCTACCGTCTGACCGTTTGCTGATTTGAAATATCTATCAATGCCTAACAGTGAGCAATCGGTCTCAAAAAATTAACAAACTTACGGCGTGACACTGTTGTTGTTTAGTCGCTCAGTCGTGTCTGACTCTTTGGTACCCCATGGACCGTAGCCCACCAGGCTCCTCTGTCCATGGGATTCTCCAGGCAAGAGTACTGGAGTGGGTTGCCATTTCCTTCTCCAATGATGTGATATTAGGCAAGTTCAAAACTCACCTGCCACCGAATCACTTGTCAAATACAAGGACTATTCCAGATTCAGTCTAGTCATAAAATCTGACTTCAGGTCTGACCCCCCTCCCTGAACAAGGTATGCTTAGATTACCGATGAATCACCCCTGAAACCCAGCCCATGAGGGCTCCATCCTGGCCTGGCGGGGAGAGGAGGAGAGGACAGGAAGTGAGGAGCGGGAGGAGAGGGAGGAGACGGGTGAGGAGCCTGGCTCCTGGGGCTGAGTCTGGAGCCCCCCTGGACCCAGCGAGCTTCACCTGCAGGACCCACCTTCCGGGCCCAGAGAAACGGGACTGTGGGGCTGAAGGGGGGCGCAGCCAGGGGTGGTGGACGCGGCGCACGGGCACGGCGCCCTTCCCGGGTGCAGCCCTCCCCCAGGTCGGGGTGGCAGGGGGAGCGGCCCCCAGGTCACAGGGCCTCACCTCTCCACTGTCTCGCAGAACAACACGATGACCTCCTGCTGCACGTAGTACTCCCGGGGGGACTTCACGGGCACCATGGCAGACACGTAGCTGCAGGCACAGGGGTGGGGGTGAGGGCCACACCCGGGCGCCCGGCCGTGTCCCCGAGCCCAGAACGTCTTAACGGATGACCAAATGGGGTCCCTCTGACTGCAGCCCCCTGGCGCCTCTCAGGGGCTCACAAGCTCGCAGCCCCAGCATCACTGCCCCTACTTTGAGCCAAAGCTCCTACCTCCTCGGGCCCACAGCCCGGCCGGGAGCCGCCACTGCTCATTCTGAGAGGCCCCCGCCTCGAGGGAAGGAGGGGGTGACCACGAGCATCCAGGGCGGGCGAGGAGCCCTGGCCCCTGCGAGCAGGACTCACCCCTTCCCCAGGTGAGGACGTTTTTCCTTCCTCCTAAGTGACTAACTAGCCTCTCTTGTAGTAAAAGCTCACTTGGGGAAATCTGGAGCAGACAAGCAGGTAGCAAGGTAGAAAGTCATGTGTGGGCGCCGCTCCCTAGAGAACCATCTGGAACCGTGTGACTTCCCCCTCCGCCCACGCTCACAAGTCGGGCAGTCTCCGCTAACCCGCGCGGCCGTGGACGGCCTTGGGCCACCTGTGTCTCCTGCACCCCAAGCGTGTCCGTGTCTGTGGACATCCTGCAGCCCAGGCCCCAGTCCCGGGCCCTCCAGAGCCCTTGGGGGCTGGCGGGGTGGGGAAGGGGGCCCTGTCCTGTTGTCTGCCGCTGGTGGAAGGGGAGAGCAGGTGCGCTCAGCTGGAGGGGGCCCCGCGCACGCTGCGGAGCTGGGGGCCCAGCAGGACCCTAGTGGCCACCTCATCCCGGCTCAGGCGGTGTCCCGGGTGGGAGCCCAGAGACGTGCTGAGTGGGGAGGGGGCGGTGGATGACCTGCACCCACAGGACCGCCGGGGGGTCTTCACCGCTGGGGGGGTGGGGCGCCAGGGGCAGAGGTGGAGGCAGGACCTGGGTCCCCTAGTCCCTGGTCCTTCCGCCTGCCCTGGCCCCTCCCCTCGCAGTGCCCACCCCCACCCACCCCAGGGGTCCGCTCCACCCTGACGCCCGGGACCAGCTGGGGAGGGGCCTCCCTTCGCGGAGGCTTCAGCCGCAGGCCGAGCCCCCCACCAGCAGGCCGCGGCCTCCATCACCTCAGCTCGAACTCCGCGAACAGCACGTCGAAGTGCCTGAGGGCCTCCCGCATCTTCTCCGTGTAGGTGTTGAGGTCCCGCAGCGCCTGGTCGCGCAGGGCCCCGCGCACATCCTCCAAGCTGCGGGTCAGTTCCTTGGCCAGCGGCCGCATGGCCATGCTCTCCAGCTCACGGTTCATGATGATGGAGCCGGCGGCTAAGCACTGCGGGTGGCGGAGGGGTCAGGGCGGCTACACGTGGTCTGGGGCCGGGGTGGGGGGCGTGGCCTCCCCAGACCCTCCCCCGCCTCTCATCCCGGAGACCCTCCCCGCTACTCTCTCCATCCTACTCTCTCCATCGGCCCCTCCTGTCTGGGCACAGGCTCCCTACTGGTTTCTCTTAGACGCACAGCAGTCACCACCGTGATAACAAATGCCCTTGGGTTTGGAGCTCCACGTGGGGCCCTCCTGGGCATGTGGCCCCTGTCTCCTCCCCCTGGCCCCGCAGAAACCCCGCAGACACCACCTTCAGGCTCTCCCCCAGGCCCACGGCCCGGGAGCTGCCCCGGGCTTTCCGAGACCGCCGACCTTTCTAAGATGCAGACACCTCCTGTCCACAAAGCCTCCCTGCCTCGCCTCACGGCCCCTACAGCCGCCCCTGCCCTTGGGACCCACATTGCAGAGGTGAAAAGTGAGGCCGGGGGAAGAGACAGTTTGCCTGGGGCCACCCCCACCGTCCGGGGCCGTCCCCAGCGGGGACATCCGAGCCATGTGGCTCAGAGGAGTGGGGTGGGACAGACAGAGATGGGGGAGCAGGTGGGCCCAGGGCCAGCAGTGTGCAGGGAGGCGGGAGCAGGCCAGGAGTCCTGGGGACCTGGGTTGGGGGGAAACCACGTGTGCTAGTGTCCTGAGCGAGGGGCCAGGGAGAGGGGCTCCCCACGGACACCACTGCTCAGAGTGAGGCTGGTCCTGCCTGGGAGGGTCACCTCCCTCCAGAGCCTCGGGCGCCTCCTTGGGAGCTGAACACCACGATCTGAGGGGCCGTGTGAGTGGTGGTGGGAGTGCGGGCTGGGGTGCAGCTCCCCCGGCCCGGGCAGGAGTAAACAGCCCCGTGGGGGGGTCAGTGCTGTCTGAGTATTGGTGTTACTGCAGCAGAGAACCATGTTCACATGTCTGGGGGCTTAAGAACCTCATAGAAATCACATGTGAAACCTCGTGTCTGTATTTGCTTGTGTAGTTTCAGGGGAGCAGGTTCAGCGCTGTCTACCGCCTGGGGGAGAGGAGACGCCCTGCATCTGCAGGCGCCCACAGGGGACAGTCACGGAGGACCAGCTGGGCTACCTCAGCGCCAAACCACAGCTGGCCGGCCAGGTTGTCGTGGCGGATCTCCTCGGGGAACTTGACACAGAAGTCCCTCGGGGCTCGGTCCTGGGGGATGCACGCGTCCATGATTTGATTAATGATGTTCAGCACGTTGTCCTGAAACAGAAGCAGGAGGGCACTAGGATGCAGCTCCAGCGGGCGGCTTGGCAGGACCGCTGGGCAAATCCGAGAAACAAGCCCTGGTGTGCCGGGAGGTGTTGCGGCCACGCAGCAGCACCCGGGGGCCTGCGTGGCTCACGCTGTGAGGAGCCCAACCCTCCCAGAAGCACCCAGGGAGGACCACCTGCCTGCCTCCCCTTCCCCATGGCCAGGTGTCTAGGGCATCCGCCACGAGCACTGGGGCACTTCCCATATCAGTCCCCGCGGGCACAGTGCGGCGTCCTCTGCGACGGCCGAACCTCCCCCTGCAGACCCACCCTCGGCTCCCTGCAGGCTCGGCCATGGTGACCGCCCCAAACATCTCTCTGAACGCCTGTGCACACATTTCTGAGGACAGAGCTAGAGAAATGGAATTCCTGGATGGACAGATGGTGGGTAGGTGCCCAATATGCTCATGGAGAAGAGTGGAGAAATAACTCAAGAAAGAATGAAGGGATGGAGCCAAAGAGAAAACAACGCCCAGTTGGGGGTGTGACTGGTGATGGAAGTAAAGTCTGATTCTGTAAAGAATATTGCATAGGAACATGGAAGGTAAGGTCCATGAATTAAGGTAATTTGGAAGTGGTCAAACAGGAGATGGCAAGAGTGAACATCGACATTTTAGGAATCAGTGAACTAAAATGGACTGGAGTGGGTGAGTTTAACTCAGATGACTATTATATCTACTACTGTGGGCAGGAATCCCTTAGAAGAAATGGAGTAGCCCTCACAGTCAACAAGAGTCCGAAATACATTACTTGGATGCAACCTCAAAAACACAAGAGTGATCTCTGTTCGTTTCAAGGCAAACCATTCAATATCACAGTAATCCATGTCTGTGGCCCAACTACTAATGCCAAAGAAGCTGAAGCTGAACATGTCTATGAGGACCTACAAGATCTTCTAGAACTAACACCCAAAAAAGGTGTCTTTGTCATCACAGGGGATTGGAATGCAAAAGTAGGAAGTCAAGAGATACCTGGAGTAACAGGCAAGTTTGGCCTTGGAATACAAAATGAAGCAGGGCAAAGGCTAACAGAGTTTTGTCAAGAAAATGCACTGGTCAGAGCAAACACCCTCTTCCAACAAAACAAGAGACAACTCTACCATGGACATCACCAGATGGTCAATACCGAAATCAGATTGATTATATTCTTTGCAGGCGAAGATGGAGAAGCTCTATACAGTCAGCAAAAACAAGACCAGGAGCTGACAGTCGCTCAGATCATGAACTCCTTATTGCCAAATTCAGACTTAAATTGAAGAAAGTTTGGAAAACCACTTGACCATTCGGGTATGACCTAAATCAAATCCCTTACAATTATGCAGTGGAAGTGACAAATAGATTCAAGGGATTAGATCTGATAAAGTGCCTGAAGAACTACGGACGGAGATTTGTGACATAGTATAGGAGGCAGTGATCAAAACCATCCCCAAGAAAAAGAAATGCAAAAATACAAAATGACTGTCTGAGGAGACCTTACAAATAGCTGTGAAAAGAAGAGAAGTGAAAGGCAAAGGAGAAAAAGGAAGATACACCCATCTGAATGCGGAGTTTCAAAGAATAGCAAGGAGAGATAAGAAAGCCTTCCTCAGTGACCTCTGCAAAGAAATAGAGGGAAACAATAGAATGGGAAAGACTAGAGATGGGAAGGACTTGAATTTTCTCTTCAAGAAAACTAGAGATACCAAGGGAACATTTCATGCAAAAGTGAAAGTGAAAGTCACTCAGTTGTGTCTGACTCTTTGTGACCGCATGGACTGTACAGTCCACGGAATCCTCCAGGCCAGAATACTGGAGTGGGTAGCCTTTTCCTTCTCCAGGGGATCTTCCCAACCCGGGGATCAAACCCATGTCTCCCTCACTGCAGGCGTATTCTTTACCAGCTTAGCCACAAGGGAAGCCCAAGAATACTGGAGCGGGTAGCCCATCTCTTCTTCAGTGGATCTTCCTGACCCAGGAATCAAATCGGGGTCTCCTGCATTGCAGGCAAGTTCTTTACCAACTGAGCTATCAGGGAAGCATATGGGCACAATAAAGACAGAAACGGTATAGACCTAACAGAAGCAGAAGGGATTAAGAAGAGGTGGCAAGAATACACAGAAGTACTATACAAAAAAGATCTTAATGACCCAGGTAACCATGATGGTGTGATCACTCACCTCAAGCCAAACATCCTGGAATGTGGAGCCAAGTGAGCCTTAGGAAGCATCACTATGAACAAAGCTAGTGGAGGTGATGGAATTCCAGCTGAGCTATTTCACATCCTAAAAGATGATGCTGTGAAAGTGCTGCACTCAATATGCCAGAAAATTTGGAAAACTCAGCTGCAGCCACAGGACTGGAAAATCTCAGTTTTTATTCCAATCCCAAAGAAAGGCAATGCCAAAGAATGTTCAAACAACCACACAATTGCACTCATCTGCTCAAAATTCTCCAAGCAAGACTTCAACAGTACATGAACCATGAACTTTCAGATGTTCAAGCTGGATTTAGAAATGGCAGAGGAACCAGAGATCACATTGCCAACATTCATTTGATTATAGAAAAAGCAAGAAAATTCCAGAAAAACATCTACTTCTGCTTCACTGATTACGCCAAAGCCTTTGACTGTGTAGATCACAACAAACTGTGGAAAATTCTTAAAAGAGATGGGAATACCAGACCACCTGACCTGCTTCCTGAGAAGAATCTGTATGCAGGTCAAGAAGCAACAGTTAGAACCAGACATGGAACAACAGACTGGTTCAAAATTGGGAAAGGATTATGTCAAGGCTGTGTATTGTCACCCTGCTTATTTTACTTAAATGCAGAGTATATCATGAGAAACACTGGGATGGATGAAGCACAAGCTGGAATCAAGACTGCCGGGAGAAATATCAATAACCTCAGATACACAGATGACACCACCCTTATGGCAGAAAGGGAAGAGGAACTAAAGAGTCTCTTGATGAAAGAGGAGAGTGAAAAAGTTGGCTTAAAGCTCAACATTCAGAAAACAATGATCATGGCATCTGGTCCCATCACTTCATGGCAAACAGATGGAGAAACAATGGAAACACTGACAGACTTCATTTTCTTGGGCTCCAAAATCACTGCAGTTGGTGACTGCTGCCATGAAATTAAATGACACTTGCTCCTTGGGAGAAAAGCTATGACCAACCTAGACAGCATATTAAAAAGCAGAGACACTACTTTGCCAACAAAGGCCCATCTAGTCCAAGCTATGGTTTTTCCAGTAGTCATGTATGGATGTGAGAGTTGGACTATAAAGAAAGCTGAGCGCCAAAGAATTGATGCTTTTGAACTGTGGTGCTGGAGAAGACTCTTGAGAGTCCTTTGGACTGCAAGGAGATCCAACCAGTCCATCCTAAAGGAAATCAGTCCTGAATATTCATTGGAAGGACTGACGCTAAAGCTGATACTCCAATACTTTGGCCACCTGATATGAAGAACGGACTCCTTGGAAAAGACCATAATGCTAGGTAAGATTGAAGGTGGGAGGAGAAGGGGATGACAGAGGGTGAGATGGTTAGATGGCATCACTAACTCGATGGACATGAGTTTGAGCAAGCTCTGGAAGTTGGTGATGGACAGGGAGGCCTGGCGTGCTGCAGTCCACAGGGTTGCAAAGAGTCAGACACAATTGAGCAACTCAACTGAACTGGGTGGACAGACGCTCTAGAAGCCAATCTTCAACGCCCACTCTCTGTGCTGCTTTGACTGACATTCTCAGCCTGTGTCATCCTGGGCTTGATGGCAACGTGGTCAGGCAAGACCTGCTGTCGGACGAATGTCACAAGGCTGACCTGTAAGCCCGGCCTCCTCAAAGCTGCTTCACTGAACCTTAGATGCCACCCCACTCTTTTCTCAAAATGTCCTGTTCTGGAAACATGTACCATTCATTCAGTAGAATTACGAGAATGTTGAAAATTTCGTTTCTTTGTGGTTTGTTAAGGCTGAGATGAATGCACATCCATCCCAGGAACTGGGAACGTGGAGGGACGGGGAGAGTCGGGGACTGTCCTTGGAACAGAGGAGGGGCGGGGAGGGGCGGGGAGTGTCCTTGGAACAGAGACTGCAGGTGGCATGCCCTCTCCCTGTTCTTGTCCCCATGGGCTTCCTCCCGTCAGCTGGGATCGTCCGCGTACGTCACTCTGCACACTGCTGCTGTTGCTTACTGTTGGGACACGCTACTATGACTTCCCAGAAATCCAGCTTGTGATGGGGAGCCACGTAAGATCTCAGCGCACGCACCATCCTTTCAACTCCCTGCTTCCGCCTCTGCTGGATGCTTACGACACTTCTAATTTTCCGCGAATAATGCAGTCACCATGTGGTGCCTGATGCTGAACTTCGGGCTGGCCCCTCAGAAGCCATATGCCTAGAGGCAGCATGACAAAGCCAAGCGTTAACTGCAGTTAAAGGCTCTGATCCCATTCTGCCAAATTGCTTTCTGGAGAGACACTCATTGACACTCTCACCCTGGGCAATTTTGTCTCAACAGCCCTCCCCTCCTCTGAGGCTTGAGCTTCGTTTTTCTCAGGCAGTAGATGTGAGCAGGAAGCATTACTTTCTAATGCAAACAGGTGATGCCCCTAAACTCTGAAGGAAATTCTGCACCATAAGAAGAACTGCACAAAACATGAAAATAAAATCCAACCATCACTGAGCAGTCCCACTGTCAGTTCTTTCTAAAAGATTTTCTGGGTGGGCAGGTCCCTTTCTCACAATTCAACAAACTAACGAAAAACTAATGTCAAAACCAACAGCAAGTGCCCAGGAAACAGCGGAGGCTACTGAGGGCCAGGGAGCCAAGCCCTTGCCCAACGTCATGTGGCCTTTTGGTGGTGATGCTCCCCACCACCCAGCCCAGGACCGGAGCTGCCTGAGGACGCCCCAGTAAATATCTGCCGAGGGACCCGGGGACACCGATGGGTCCCCAGAGCTGGAGCGGTGCTGAACACAGTGTCCCTCGTGGGATCTTTACTGGGACGTCTGATTCCAGCCAAGATGGAGTGACAGGAATGAAAACTACCTCCTCAAATGATAAATATGGAAACAAGACAAGGATTCTCCAGACACTGGACATCAGGCAATGCGTGATCCCAACAAGAAGAAAAATAGATGAGGCGGGAGCTGTGACCACCCAGCTCACTGCCTGGAGGGAATTCTCGGGTCCTGGCACAGACAGAGGGGACCAGGTGGGACCCAGCAAACACCCTGGTTGAAGAGACAGAACCGAGAGTCTGGGGAGGCCAAGGCCACCAGAATCCAGAGGACAGAGTAGTGGAGATGAGCGAGCTGCCCGGGGAGACGGCCGCGGGGAGGACCTTGAGTGTCCAGCTGGGCACAGGGCCCGCGGCGCAGAAATGCTCCCAGATCACAGGGCACTGAGTCCGTAGCCAGCGGTACTCAGTAGCAACACTTCTTAGCCCCAGACTGAACAGAGCTCTGATCCTGCGTGACATCTTAAAAAAAAAAAAAAAAGGATCCAACCATTTACAAGCAACTGTATTACAAAATAAAGCTCCAAAAGGTTAACAGGAAAACAAAAATATTCTGCTACCAGCAAGGTAGAAGTCCCAATGCCAGGCAGCCAATAAAAAAAATGACCAGGCTTGTAAAGAATTAGGAAAATGTGACCCCCAGGGCTCCCCCCCGGGAAGCAGAACCAGGCTGGGCTGGTGCTGTCCTGCGGGCTCTGACAGATGCCCCCGCTGAGTGGAGGGCACCTGGTGTGATGGCACCTGGGAAGCCTGAGGCGCCCCAGGCAAGGGGCCGAGCCCCTGCCCACGGCTGAGAAAGTCGTGGCCTCTGGGCACTTGGCGGGGGGCGTCCACATGCTCCGGGAACTGACGCACAGATGCTGGGAACATCAGGGGCGGGGAAGAAGCCAGCAGGAAGAGCAAGTGCGTGCCTGCTCAGTCGTGTCCGACTCTGAGGCCCCCTGGACTGCAGCCCGCCAGGCTCCACTGTCCGCGGGATTCTCCAGGCAAGAAGACTGCAGTGGGTTGCCATCCCCTCCTGCGGGGGACCGTCCCGACCCAGGGACCGAACCTGCATCTCCTGCATTGGCATATGGATTCCTCACCACCGAGCGCCCTGGACTGGAGACCAGCTAAACCCGGGTGACCCCCCAGGGCGACGGGGCTCTGAAATCAAGGCCACCAGGGGCCCAGCAGGGCGTGCTGCGGCCAGCCCTTCCGCCAGACCAGCACATTTTACCTCGTGCGTCGTGGCCACTCACGGCACCCCCCCCCGGCGCACAGCCTCTGTCCAAATCCCTCCCTGCCTGCAGTGGCCTGTGAGACACCCACCCCGTCCCCCACAAGCCTGCCTGCCCCCCGTGGCATCGTCCGCCTTCTGCAGAGGGACACCTCTGTGGGGAAGCACCGCGGAACAAAGGAGGGAATGAACCAGCGGCCCTGTGACAGACAGAACGTGAGACCTCGATGAAAACTAGAAAGGGCAAAATGCCTGTTTCGGGAGAGACTTTAGAGATGAAAATCACTTCCCACTGTGACCAGCTGAGCTTCACAGGAATTCACTGCCGCAGGAGCCCCTGACAACCGCAGGCGCCCCAGTAACGGGCCAATTACATGTGACCCTGCCGAGCCTCTCTGAAGAAACAGCTGGCACAGGGAGCCTCACTTCGGCGGCTCTTCCAAGTCCTTTTTCCTGAGCGGGCAGCTGAGTATGGAGCCAGGAGCCGGGGGGCCTCAGCCACACTTGGGGCCGTGCGGTTGTGCAGAGAGCGGTCCTCCCAGCGGGCCTGACTGCCGTCCTCCGAGAGGCCCACGTGCGGGGCCGGCCCTGGGCTGGCGTCCAGGAGCTGGGGTGTCGGCAGGGCCCCCAGCACCCCCACCGATGGGGGCCCCCCGTGCCTCCCTGCTGTGTCTGCGCTCACACCCTTCTCCCTGGGGCTGGACTGAGCGTCTGCCCCGCAGAGGGGCCCTCGGGGCCGGCCCCCAGTAAGAACCCCGGCTCTGAGTCTGTGACGGGCTTCCCTGGGGACACGTGTCTCTGTGGGTCCGTGTGTGTCCTCGGGGCGGGGTTCTGGAAGCTGGCGCCCGTCTGCCCTGGACCCCACCCCCCTCACCCACTGGACCTTCTCCCATCGCTAGTTCTGCTTCGCAGCTTCTTGCTGTGATGGATCAGAGCCGACAGGACGAATGAGTCCTGCCTGTCCTGCTGGAACCCGGGGTGGCCTTGGGGACCCCGACACAGAGGTTCTCCGGGAACATGAGACGTGAAAGGTTCTGGTGTTGCCGTGTGAGTGTGAGGTACTTTAGGTGATTTTTATGACTTTTCTCCACCTTTTTATTTTTATTTTTTTTTCTTTTCTTTTTTCTCCGCCTTTTTAAAGCTGCTTCGCCTGCATCCAGTCCCACGGCAGATCTCCTTCTCTGCTTTTCCTGCTGAGGCTCTGCGAGGCACCAGATAAGTTTCAGCCACTCGGTCGGTCATGCAGTGAGCAGGCCCGGGAGGGCTTGGGATCAAAGAGTCCCAGGGAGCAAGTCCCCCCCCCCCCCCGCCAGGAGAGCAGGGCTAGGTGGGGAGGGGCAGAGAGAGCAGGCAGGGCTCAGTGAGCAGCAGGAACCAGGCAGGTAGGAGACCCTTGTGGCCCCCCAGGCCCTGGCCCCTCCTGAGAGATGACAGAGGACGGTGCACTCCTCCCGTCAGAACCCTGGTGCTTGAAACCCTTGGCGGGACCCTACCCACCCTGTGATCTCAGACGCACACCCAAGCCCCCACCTCCCCGAGTGGAGAGGCACAGGCTGGCGGGCTGAGAAGGCTCTGGAACTCGGCGAATGACCCAGCCCGCTGTCGCTCGACAGAAGTTGTTTGGCTAGTGAAGCTGTGATTGCTGGGCCACAGGAATTCCCAGCAGGGTGGTCTGGACCGTGCATCGGGGAGGTCGCCACCCGCCAGCTCTGGGGCAGCCCCCCGCAGGCCCACCCCCTTCTCCGCTGGTCCTCCGTCCCCCCATTCCCCTGGAGGGGGCCCGTGAGCCCACCCCTTCTCACCAGCTCTGACCCCCCAGCTGGGCTCCCCTCCGGCCCCTTCGCCCGCCCGCCCCTCACCTGGCAGGAGCGGAACTGGCTGACAAGCAGCGTGCAGCGCTGCGGGTCCTTCCGCCCGTCCAGGCTGTCCAGCTCGGCGGCCACCTGGCTCAGCTCCTCGTCCGCATGGTAGAACTGCGCCAGCAGCTGTGGGTCCGACCGCTGTGGGGAGAGCGGAGTGAGCAGACCCCCTGGCTGTGGCCCCCTCACCCTGACGGGCCCCTGCGTCCCTGCGTGTGTGTGGGGGGGGTGACCACAGACAGGGGCTGGGGAGTGCTGGGGGCCGAGGACAGGGGACTCACTCTTAGGAAGGAGCTTTACTCCGGAGACTAAGCCGAGGCCATAAAGGCAGCGGCTGAAGAGAGGGCCGGCTCTGCTGCCCGGGCCCCCCAGCCCGCAGCCCAGCTTCCACGATGCCAGGAGGAGCGGGGCTTTGGCGCGGCACACCCTCCTCTCAGAGGCTCAGCTCCCACAGAATCCCCAGGGGGCCCTTCCGACCCTGGGTCTCGACGCGCCTCCGTCCGGCCTGCAGGTCCCCTGCCCGCCCCCAGCTCTAGCCCAGTGGTCACACCGCGTGTCCTGTCCACACACTTCCGGCCACCACAGGCCTCCACGTGGTCTCCCTCTGGCCCTGGGGCCAAGGCAGTGTCCCCTCGATCTGAGTGCAGGGTGAGGACACGCCAACGGGAGGGGGGGCGGCACCCTCGAGCGTGTCTTCACACGAGGGCCCTCCGTGACGGCAGAGAGACGGGAGCGAAGGTGATGACAGGTCAGCCCCTGCTCCCTCCTCCTCCCGCCTGGGAGGCAGCCCACCCGTGACTACGCCCTGCAGTCTGCCGAACACAAGGTAACTTATCTTTGTGATTTCTCAGCTCACAGCTCAGCTCATGAGCCTGAGTTTCACCCCTCCCCCAGGGTCGCCCGTTCCCGGATGGATCGTCCTCTGAGCAGGGGTCTTGGATCATGGGGAGGAGCCCCCGGGGACTTTTCACAGGAGATTGGAGATTCACCCCCCCACCCCCTACCCAGCAAATGCACCTGAGCACCCCCTGCTGAGAATGCAGAACCAGGGCAAGCTAGACCCCACCCTGCGGGCCCCCGGCATCCGTGACTCCCGGGTCCCCTCCATGGGCTCGGCTGACTCCCCCAGGATGCCCACCAGTGACCCCTCTATGACGAGAGGGGAACCAGGGTGGAGTCAGCGATGGCAGTACATTTCTGCCCCCTTCCTTGTGCTGACCAGAAGGAGAGCGGCTGGAAGGCGGGCAGCCGCCCGGACGGTGCCATCACACACTCTCCCCACCACCCTGGCCTCAAGGCCCCCAGGGCACCCATCCCTCCATTACGGCCCATCTGGACCCACTTCCCACCCCAAGGCCTCCTCCTGGTTTCAGAAGCTGGGGGCAGGGAGAGACACCCTTGCCCTCTGAATCCCAGCCAGGGTTTAACCTGGCACCTCCAGGGCGTGGCCGACTCCCACATGAGGGAGAAGGCAGAAGGCAGCTGGAGAGGGCCGCCTGCCCAGGAAAAGGCAGGGAAGAAAACGATAGCACAGTATCGGGGGACCCCAACCAGCACCCCCCAGACTGGGTGGGCCACACACCTCCGTGACCATGAGCAACAAACAGCCTCCAAACCGGCCTCCCCCTCCCTGGGGACACGGCCCGGGAGGAGCGGAACCTGTCGCCTGGGAGTGGAAGGACCAAGACGGACCCTTTGGGCTCACGGCACTTTGCTTCCATTATAGCAAAGAGCTTAAGACCAGAGCTACGAGCGTGTTGACCGTCACCAAAAATAGAGAGATGTGTACAACACACACACATGTGCACATGTGCACGCACTGAAGAAATCAGAGAATTCAGAAAAAAATTTTTTAAAGCTGGCAATTATCTTTATTTTGTTGAAATACAGAAGGCCTGTGTGATTTTAAAATTTTAGTTATATTCCGAGATAGCTTTCCGGCCCCCTCGGAAGGAATGATTTCCAACAAGGAATCACGATTCTCCTCTGTGGACTTCCCTGGTGGCCCGGTGGTTAGGACTCCCCGCTTCCAGCACAGGGCACGGGTCCAATCACTGGTCAGGGAGCTGAGATCCCGCAGGCCGTGACACACAGCCAGAACTGAAGAGATGGAAAGAGTTCCTGGGGGGCTCAGGGTGCCAAGGTGCGGTGGGAGAATCTTGCCGGTGGTGTCAGATCCCCACCGGGAGACCCAGACGCTGTGAAGACGAGACTTCCAGGCAAGGGTCCAGGAAATGAAGGAACACAACTTCAACGATTCAATTTGTGCTGATCAATAGGATCCAAAAGAACATTTTGGTGCCACGTTTCCATTTCTAAGTATGCAGAGAACAAAGCGAACACAGCAATCTCTAGCCTGGCTCATCACTCAGACCTAAATCGGTCCAGCAGGGCAGGGTCACCCTCAGGCCAGCTTGGAGGCGGGACCGTGGACTGCAGGGAGACAGAAGAGGACAGACGTGCTGCTCTCTGCGACTTGGATCAGCCGGCCTCATTCAACAACGTTTAACATTAAATTTTAAATGAGACTTTCAAATGTCCCTGAGTAAAATGTCCCCAGCAAAGAGAATCAATTGATACGGACAGGAAGAAGTACTCACCCTACCTTGAAATAAAAACCATGAGAGAATAAAATAGAGCCCAGTAAGGATACTTTTTGGCACACCATGTCAATATTTTCTCAAAATAAATCCATAGCAGTGACAGTTTTCACTGTTACAGGACAAAAATAAAATTCACGAAGCTAGCACTTAGGCGGTTAGATGAGTAGTGAATAAGCAGCCTCCAAGAAGGCAAGAGAAAATACACAAAAACACAGCAGTGACTGAGTAAGTCCGAAGCGCCGAAGCTGACAATTCAGAACCGATTCTGTGAAGCTGATGGAATTATCCATCATGCAAACACCTGCTCTGTGATGCAGGCTGGGGGTGTGGGATGCAGACGTGGATGCCCGGCTGTGTGTGAGCTGAGGCCCTGCCCTCAAGTGCCCGTCTGAGCCAGGTGTGTGACGATGCTGGAGGGACCCAAGTTTCGTGAGGCTGGCCAGCTGGGCTGGGGCAGAATGTGGCGGGAACCATGAGTGCCCCCAGCCCTGGGCAGTGCACCGGTTTTGTCCCAGTAGGTACCACCAGGCCCCTCGGTGAGGTGGCCCGATACTGACCCAGATGAAGAAAACTCACAGCCAAGGTCACATCAGTGGGCACGGCAGAGCCGGCGGTCAGCCCGGGTCTCACTCTAAGGACCCTCGGGGGTCCGCCTGGGAAAGAGGAGGAGGTTAAGAGTAACCAGGACAGGATCCATGACTCTTGCTTCCCAAGTAGGAAGCAAACGGGGCAGCAGGAAAACCTTAGAAGGATGCCTGGTCACCGCAGCGCGGTCTCAGCCAAGCTCCAGGGAGGGGAGAGAGGAGGAGGCAGATGGCAGGACAGGTGGGCAGGACAGATGGCAGGACAGGCAGCGTGGCCAGGACGGAAAGGACCAGCCCCCTCGCGCCCCCAGCGCAAGCCTGGCGATGGAGAGCAGCCAGCCCCCACCCCATGCCTGCCCCCCAGCAGCTGCCCAGGACAGGAGCTGGGCTCCGAACCCTCGTTCCCAAGACCACACCCCATGGGACCCCAACACCCTCCCGCTGGGCAGAGGAGAGCCTTCCAGATCTCGGTGGCTCCCCAGGTGGTGGACAGGCGGCAGGCAGCGCAGGGGTGAGGGCTGGTGGGGCCAGCCCAGGCCTGAGCCTCTCCTGGACAAGCCCCCCAGCAAAGGCTCAGACCCCGCTCTGCCAAGCCTGAACACAGCGTAGCCGAGAAACCAGAGAAGACCCTGGTCGTGCACAGAGTCTGGCTGCTCCCCGAGCGGGGCCTCCCGCAGCCCGCTGGCCCTCGGGCCCTGGGCTCAGGGGAAGATGCCCAGGCCACACAAGACTGTCAGGGAAACCCACTGACCACAGGCCACCAGGACCAGAGACCCTTCACTGCCTCCAAACAAACACCGAGCCAGGCCCTCCTGGGCCTGGCTCCTGATCCTCAAGGCTGGCCTGGTCCACACCAGCGCATCAGGGCCCCAGCGCTGACCCGGCCGCATCACCCGTCGCCCGTCAGCGCATTGGAGCCCCAGACGGGCACACACTGCTGTCGTTCCAAGGTGGCAGCCTTGCCTTTGCTGGATACCCTGCGCCCACCCCCACCCAGCTGCCTGCCTTCCCATCCAGGCTCCTCCGCCAGGGCCTCGAGGCTGCCCCTCCGGCCCCTGCTCACTCTCAGGACCCAGGAATCTGGGTAAGTAAGGTCACCGCCAGTACAGACCGGCCTGCTGCAGTCCCCGGGGTCACAGAGGCGGACATGACTGAGCGACTGAACAGCAAGAGAACCTTCCTATGCAGAGCTGACCGCCGACCACCCTACGGCAAGCCCAGGCCTGTGCGGCCTCCTAGATGGTCTGCTGAACGCGTGCCCTGAAAGCTTTTGATTCCAGGACCAGTTTAGACACCCAGTGAGCCGCTTCCCCGCCCCTGCTGTCTCTCCAGACAGTGGTCCCCCCAGCCGAGCTGGTCTCAGCTGCCGCGAAAGCCACAGCCAGCTCAGAGGGGCAGCGGCCCCGCCGTGGGTCACTCCGGAGGGCAGCCCGCCTCAGGAGAACCCCCGCGGAGGGTCCCTGCCCGTGCGGCACAGTGAAGGCCCCTGGGTAACGCCGACCCCCACCACGGGAGGACCCGCTCCAGAGAAGCAGGCCCCTACCCTGGAGAAGGCTGGTCTGGTCCCGCAAGGGTGAGGTGGCCCCGTAGGGCTGGACACCCTCCTTCCAGGGGACAGCTGGGCTCGGCGCCCTGTGACACCCCAGGTGACCACACGGGCCTGGGCTGCGGCACGTGCAGACACGATGCCTGGAGATAGCTGAGCATCTCGAGAAGGGTTTTCAGAAGGAGAATGCATTCTCAGATAAAACTCTCAGTCGAGTGTTGTATATCTATACAGATGGCACGCGGAGAACACTCGTTGCAGGAAATTTAACCGCAGCAGCTGCAGCGGGTCATAAAGAAGCTCTTCCGTAACCGCAGAGGAAAGGAGCCCAGGCTGGCGACCGCCCTGGGGGGCGGGGGGGGGGTGTCACCGCGGCACCAATCGGAACAAATGGTGACTGACAGCTGG